TGTGTGTGTGTGTGTGTGTGTGTGTGTGTGTGTATTTTCGTGCTTGCACATTTGATATATGTTTTGTTCCTTTATTCTCTGCCCCGCTTCGTGGGGTCGCGTCGGGCGTTGTGTTGGCCACCTCCAGCCGAGGCTCCCCTCCATCCAATCACACAGACACACGCACGCACGCAAACGCTTGTCCTTGCTGGGCACCGTTATGCAGCATCACCCACGCCCACGCATTTCTGCACCTTATTTATTTGTGTCTGTTTGGCCGCCAAGGCACTATCGCCTCCCGCTTCCGCGTCCCCCTCTCTTCTTCGCCTTATCTTCGCTCACTCCCACACCCACTCACGCTCTATCATTCTGTTTGTGTGCGTGCGCTCGCTCTGCGAGTTTGTCTATTTTCTTTNACTCCCACACCCACTCACGCTCTATCATTCTGTTTGTGTGCGTGCGCTCGCTCTGCGAGTTTGTCTATTTTCTTTTTAGTGCGTTGGTTTGGTCTTTGTGTGTATTCTCTCCACCACTTCTCCGTCCGTCGTCACGCCCACAAACAAGGAGGAAAAAAAGAAAAGGCAGCAAGATTAGCAGCACCGCACAGGCACTTGGGCGCGAGAAGGAATAACAACAAAAAAAGCAGACGAGGAAGAAGCCACAGCAGGCAGGTAATGTCGCAGGGAGAACAGGCCGCCGCACCGAGTGGAGGGAAGGTGACTTTCCGTATCATCCTCACCTCCGAGCGCAACCAGCCGTTCCGCGTGATCAGCATCGCTGAGGAGGCGCCCCTCACCGCCGCGCTGCGGTTCGCCGCAGAGGAGTTCGGCATCGCCTCCGTTGACTCCATGGCGGCCACAACAAAGGACGGCACCGGCATCAACCCCGCGCAGACAGCCGGGAGTGTTTTCATGAAGTACGGGCAGGAGATACGTCTGATTCCCCGCGACCGCGTGGGCGCTGTGTCGTGCTGATGTCGACGGTGATGCTGTCGAGGCGGCACATTAGTGAAGGAAACAACAAAAAAGCGGCCAAACAAACCAAGAAAGGGAAGGAGGGGGGGAGGAAAAAGGCGAGAACGGGGAAAGGGGATTTAAGATAGGACCTATACTACTCTTCTTCCCGCTCTCTCGCTTTGTGTGTGCGTTTCTGTGTATGTTTGTGTTTAGGGTGGTGCCGCACAGAAGTGGCAGCAGCAGCGGCAGTGGCGGTAAATCACCGCGTGTGCAGAAAAAAAGAAAATAAAAGGCAGGCCAAAACCAAAAGATGATTTCGACCTGCGCCCCACCGATATGTCGGCATCTCTTCATGATATTGCATTCTGTTTGCTTACATGCTGCATGTGGTATGCGTGCCTGTGGATATATATTTGTTGATTTATTTACTTTTTCGATCGACAATCGCGCTTCGTTTCGGTGTCTTCGGCCGAATGGAATCATGCGCCTCTCCCCGTCTCTCTCTCTCTCTCTCTGCCCTATGCCTCGCCTAGCTGTAAAAACGGAAGAGCGAATCCGCTGTCCCGTCACACATTCTTTATATATACACATATATATAAGGAGAAAGAGAAAGAAGTATAAGCATATACCTCTGTGTGTAAGTTGTTGTTGTTTTTCCTTCTTGTAAAGTAGAATGTCTCTCTCCCCGGAGTGGGCAAAGTCCGTTGTTGTGCGGTCGGAGGGAAACATAGTGGCGCAGCACCAGCAGGCACCCACAGCGGCCCGCACATACGCCGTGGCTGGTAGGCCTATTATTGTGCGCCGACGCGACCCCCGCGTCTTTACTGCTGAGGCAGCAACATCAGCGCAGAATAACGGCGGTGAGGAGAGCAGGCCGCAGGGGCCGTCGCTGGGGTGGCTCGTTACTGGGCGCGACGTCGCGGAGACCTTTTGGGTCCCCGACGTGAAGCGCAATGAGGCGAGTCTGCTGGAGACCATGTACCGCCGCACGGCAGCTAACCGCACCCACGTGCTGCTTCACAGTAGACCGCTACCGGAGCTGCAGTACAACTTCTCCACGTGCACTGGCGAGAATATTGACCTCTCCCATGACGTGTTTCGCCTCTCCAAGACGTCCATGGCAATCCTGCAGATGGAACGACATTTATCTGACGGAGATGAAATTCTGCTGCATACCAATGCCGGGTCGAGTAGCGGGGCGAATGTAGACGCGTCCAGCAGTCAGCGACGCACGCAGCCCACCTCTGATGTGGCGAGTATCACAGGCAAGACGTTCAAGGATCAACTTCGCCATGGCCTGCGCTACATACATGAGGAGGAGTATTACCTTGTGCGCTACCGCGACTACAGCGCGTGGGCGGTGCAGCAGTACGCCGCCATTGCCAAGAAGGATCACTACTGGGGCAAAAAGTACGTTGAACAGTGCTTTGCCGTCCACGTTGGCAAGGAGCCAGGCGAGCTGATCCCCATCACTGAGGCGCAGTTCTTGTTTGGGGTAGAGCTTCTGCAACGTCAGTTACTAGAGCAGGTTGGCACACGCGTATCCATTGACATCAACTACTCTGCACTCAGCAAAGACCAATTCCGCTCGCTTGGGGTTCTCCTCGGTGACGGCATGAGGGCTGTTGCCGTCGATGGGGAGGAGCGCCGCCGCCAGGAGGAGGAGGAAGAAGAGAGGCGACGCACTGTAAACACAAACAAGGATGCGTACGTGCCGCCCAGCATGTGGGACTGGAGCCCGAGCGCGATTAAGAAGCGTATTGATCACCAGCTGCAACTGCGCTACCAAGCACTCGGTCGCTTCGTTGTGCGCATTGCAGTGCTTGGCGTGGGCTTGTACGTGGCGTGGTCTTATGTCAGGCCCGCCCTCCCAATCGAAGGCAGCAGCACCGTGAGCGGCGGTAGGGCTCAGAGGCGTGGCCAGCGGAGTGGGCGTGGCAACGTGTACGCGGATGACGGCGACGCATTCGTGCCCAAGGGTTTCCTGCGGAGCGTCTTGCTGGGCCCGAAGGAAGTGTTCGACTATCTCCTGGCGCCCGCAAGCTGAGCTTGTCGTGTCAACCGTGTCTGGTGGGGACGGTGTGTAGGAGAAGACAATACTACTGCCTGGTAGCGTGGCTGAAACAAAACAAGAGCAAAATAAAAGTAAAAAAAAAAGTGAGAAGCCGGTTTATTCTTCATTTGGATGGAAGCACAATCAAGAGCAGCCGCACGGCTTTTTTCACTTTACTCTGCGTATCTACTGCGAGTCAAGTGCGGGCGTGCCACGCCCCATTCTGCCGTTGCTCTTAACGGTGTGGCGGTGGAGATACACAACTCTCCACTTTGGTCGCTGCAGCAGATGGCCCAGGAAGGAAGGAAGGAAGGAAGAGAGGCAGCATACATCCAACATGCATATTCGAGCATCATTTTCTCTCTCATACATATATATATATATATATATATATA